AAAAAAAAAAAAAAAAGAAAAGAAAAAAAAAAGAAAAAAAAACTTTCAAATTTTAGTTTCTATTCGTTGATATCCTAGTAGAGATAGGACGGTTGGATCTTTTCAAATTTTATTTTTTTAAAATAATTATGTAAAAAAACTTAAAGATATGTTCTAAGAAAAATCGAATAGTTAGATACATGAGAATCTTATAGTATTGAAGATACAACCTACCGACAACAGTAATTGGCCGTTGCCTGCTCAGGTTAACTTATAAGTTTCATATATTTAAATTAGCATGGTTTGATATGATGATTTTTTTTAAAAAAAAAAAATGCTCGAGCTTATCTCATAAACTTCCTTGAGTAACTTTTCAAATAACTCAATGAAATTTATAATTGAGTAACTTTTCAAATAACTCAATGAAATTTATAATTCATCTACCTTATCACTAATTTTACTAATTACATTTATCATATAAACTAGATTTTCAACCATAAGTCATAAGATATCAGATATAAGCTCAAACTTCACTTAAAAGATATAAGCTAGTTTATCAACTAAATTTACTAAATATAGCCTTTGGCAGACCAATTATGAGCAACCCTTTATCCCAAAATAGTGAATAACTTCTTATTTATTTTCTTTTATTTTATCTACAATTTTTTAATTTTATTTATTTAATTATATATATATTATGATTTTTTTTCTTAAAATTTCAACTGTTCTTTCTGTAAACAAAATTGACAAAAATAAAATTTAATGTAATAAATAAGAAAACAAAAAAAAATAAAAAAAAATTAATGAATAAAATTGAAAAACAACCAAGTAAACTAAAGTTTTACCTTTTTTTCCCCACTTTAGGAATCTATATTGACTAAAAGTCGATCGAGTAATTCAGATTTGATGGAGGAATATTATTGTTGTAATAAAAGTATCCTTATTAGAAATTTTTTAGAGTTATCGGATGGTTTTCTTATGAAATCATCTATCATTTAATGTATTGACACATGTCTAAAGTGTATTTATTGTAGGACACTTGTCAATACGTACACTATTTGTAAATAAATATTGATGACTCTATAAATCTGCCATCTGATGGCTCGTAGCAAAACTGATATCCTTATAACAAGAGCCAAGATATATATTATACTTCCAAAAATGAGTTGAATAGTCGTGGTTGCAGTCAAAATATTTAAAGCATATATATACCTAACAACCTATCCACTTATTCAACAATAGATGTAAAATGTCAATGAAACTATATAAAAAAGGACATTTATGTACACAAATTCGTTACACAATAATTAAGGTGATTTGACACAAGTAAGAAGGGTGCATAATTTTATTTTATTAATTAGGATTCCTTACAATATCCCAAAAATGTTATTATTATTATTATTATTATTATTATTATTATTATTATTATTATTATTATTATTTTTATTTTTATTATTTTCAAGAGGGGAAAATATCAAAAGTTTATCTATAGAGGGAGCAAGAAAGCCAAGAATTAGGGCATAAAAAGAGTCGATTTTTCTAATCCATCCGTATAATATTATATATTATATTTATTTAATTATGTATCGCGAGAACGAGTTCCCGCAAGCTATTTGAATTTTACCAAAGTTGCAACAATATATTCAAGTTTAATGATTAAGTTCTACAGATTGCAACAATATATTCAAAATTGTATGAAAAAAATGGTGAAGCAATTTGAAAAAAAAAAAAAAAAAA